ATCTAACTGGTACAGGAGAAGATTGCACCTCCTTCTCCAGCAGAGCATCTGGTGATTCAAACTGTGTACCTCTGGGATTGTGCAGACTATTTAAGTAAGCCCTTAAAATAAGACTATCCCTGCAGAAACACTGAAATAAAAGAGATAAACAAAGTTTCAAATGGCAGCATGAAAAGACAAAGTATTGTAACGAAATGTTCAAAGAGCTGTAATTACAGTATCAAAAAGAAAGAATACACTAGAAATTTCTCAAATTGAAAGAACTGAAAAATAAAGTTTTGAGTTGCAATATTGAAGGATTCTATGGACAAAATCTTAAATGATAAAGCATCCAAAGAAGATAGAATCAAGGTCACAGAACCATTTCAGGAAGAAGTACATGATCAAAAACTAATGGTAATGAAGGAAGAAGCTTAAGGTGCACTGAATTGGCAAAAAATAAGGGCCCAAGAATTAGAATATCTACTGAAATGTTTCAACACACAGATGTAACTCTGAACATAATCACTAGTCTATGCCAAGAAAATTTGGAGGAAAGCTAATTCACCAACTGATTGGAAGGCATCTCTATTTGTTCCTACTCCAGAAAAGGATTCAACAGACTGTGCAAAATACTGAATGATATCATTAATATCACATAAAAGGAAAATCTTGCTCAAGATATTCAAAAACAGCTAGAAGAATTTATCAACAAGGACCTGACAGCAACTCAAGCTGGATTCAAAAGAGGCTATAAAACAAAGGATATCATTGCTATTATCAGATGGATCTTGGCGGAAAGCAGAGAAGCCAAAAAGATGTTAATCTGTCTTTTATTGACTATGAAAAGGCATTTGACTGTACTGGATCATTACAAATTGTGGCCAATATTGAGAAGAATGGGAATTCCAGGAGCCTTAATCATGCTTACATGAAATCTATTCCTAGTCTGAGAAGGTGTTTGTTGTCTAAACAGATCAAGAGAACATCCCATTGTTTAAAATCAGTGAAGATACATGTCTGGGTTACATGCTTTCTTCAAATCTATTCATATTCATATGATTTGAGTAACTAAATAAATAATGTGCCATCATGACTGGAAGAAGACTCACCAACAACCTGCCTTATACAAATGACACAACCTTATTTACAGAAAGTGAAGATGTGAAACATTTGCAAGAAGCTGTGCTGCAATCACAAAGGTACGTAGTTCGAATCCACCAGATGCTCTGCTTGAATAGGAAGGGAAATCTCATCCTATGCCAGGTGGATCCAATCCAATTTGATTTGACTGTACATAACAACAACAACAAAAGCAAACAAACAAAAAACTCTAGAGACTCCAGCCTTCAACATAGATTACATCTCAACATCAAGAAAACCAAAATCCTCACCACTGTACCAATTGGCAACTCATAACAGATAGAGAAAAGACTTAAATGGTAAACAATTTTATCTTACTTGGATCCACAATCAACACCCAAGGCAACAGCAGTCAAAAATCAAGAGATGTTACACTGGGAAAATCTGCTGACAAGTTAACTCTCCAAAGTGCTTAAAAGTAATGATGTCAGGTTTTGGGTTTTTTTTCCAGTAAAAATTTTTATAGTGTCAATCTCCTGAATTCACATCCTGACTTCAGCAGAATGTAAAAGTACTTCACTAAAAATACATATACTACATGGTGCCTAACGTGAGTCAAGCCTTCAATAAATGTTCACTGGCAGTATTTCATTCTGTTGTAAACAGAATCATTCTGAGTCAAAGTTGACTTTACATCATCTGTAAGTATTATTTAGATGATGTTCATGTAACTTTATAAAGTTTGTGTGCTCTGGAATCTTTAATCTTTTATATAAAAAACAGCAATCTAGATATAAAGTGTCTATATTTTCTTGTAACTGCCTTATTTCTTCTCTTCTTTTTGAATGGCATTAGACTGAGTAGAGGGTGAAAAAGGATATACATTATAAGATTTCTTAAAAACCAAAAATACATGGTGAATACATTAGTGCTGCTAGAGATTAGGAAGAGTGGGAGGGCAGGGATGTAGGTTTGCATCTAAGGAAATGACACAAAGCTCTTCATGGTGATGGAATAGTTTTGTATAGTGATCCAGGTGGTAAATACACAAAGTACATATATGATAAAATGACATAGAATTACACAGAGGTTGTGTCAATATCTGTTTTAGACTTGGTACCAAGTGTTTACGTAGTATGTAATAATTGAGGCAAATTGAGTGAGGTGCTTGAGACCTTTCTGTGTTATATTTGCAACTTCCTGGGAATGTATAATTGTTTCAAAGAAAATAGAAGAAACAGAAACAGAAACAAAACATCTATCTGCTGAAACTGAGGAGGACCTGAAGCGCCTGCTGCAGAGTGTCAAGGACTGCAGCCTACAATATGGATTGAGGCTCAACGTCAAGAAGACA